ACAAACACTCGCACATGAAACAAGAAATACTGACAATTGCCACTGTCTCAGGGAACTCTCTATCCCGGTTCAACAAAGAGCAGGTAATTGCCGACCAGTTTGCACAAGAGGAGTTCGAGCGGCGGAACAGACCACAAGATCCCAAACAAAACAAGCGAGGCAGACGAGGACGCCGCCATTACTAGGAGGAAACAGCAGACTGCACAAAGCAGCAGGCAACAGTCCGAGTAAAAAGCCTAACTAATAAAATCGGAACAAAAAACCACGCCACCATCTTTGCGGAAAAGCCAGCTCGCCAAAAGGAGGAAGCACGGACACCACCAGACCTGACAGCAGAAGCAACACCAGGAGATTCCACCCACACCCGTTCCAGGTCAGCCCAGGCAATTTGTTAGTCCTTTTCAGGACTAACCGACTCCCATCCCAAACGCCAAGAAAAACAACCATATCACAAGCCGCTGAGCCAGACCCCGTCGGACCTGTTACACAGAAAAAACAAACTCAGTCGAAACTGTTCGCCACAATTAAGCAAAATTCAAATCAGATAACAAAGAAACCGTCCTCGATAAACAGGCCTTCGGGCGGCTAAAAGAGACTAAGCTTGGAATTTTTGTTTGTTTTTATACAATACGATATACAATCACCACACACACCATGACCAGCCAGTTGTTCCAGGTATTAACTGGGCTCGAAACCAACGGTCTTGGATTCAGGTAATTTTCTACGCTTAGGTAAATTATACTGGGACTGCAGTGCTACTAGCTAGTGTGAGTGGACAGACCTTGTCACATAACCAGGCAGAACCCTTCGCGAACCAACCTCGCTAACGCACTCTTCAACACAGAAATGGATTGCGGCATAAGTCAACACAATAGCAAACACCAGCTAACACTAGAATTATACTACCGTTCGACTAACCGCATCGCTGGGGTTCATACTGAGGGGAGGATCTGAGCACCTATGGACATGTCCGGAGTGCAATGAGGATAACCCAACTAACTAACTAACTAACTAACTAACTAACTAACTAACTAACTAACTAACTAACTAACTAACTAACTAACTAACTAACTAACTAATTAACTAATTAACTAATTAACTAACTAACTAACTAACTAACTAACTAACTAACTAACTAACTAACTAACTAACTAACTAACTAACTAACTAGCTAACTAACTAGCTAACTAACTAGCTAACTAACTAACTAACTAACTAACTAACTAACTAACTAACTAACTAACTAACTAACTAACTAACTAACTAACTAACTAACTGCATCGCTTTACAAGTACCTGTCGCTAATCTAAGTCCAACACAGACAGTATCTAGCAGTCTACAGCATAAGCCCCGTCCAGTCTTTCATAAATCTCTCCCTAAAAAAAATCCCATCCGAGCTTCTTTATTGTCGTGTCCAAATATTCAGTCCTGGTTCGTCAAAACCCCGTGAAACCGCGAGTGGTTATCTCACCTTGTCAAGATATTCTGTTGGCCGTCTTTGCGTGTCACTGAACACTCGGTCCGATCTCGGTCAACTAAGTGCCAACCCGCTTATTCTTCCTCATCGTACTTCGACATCTCATAGCCACACAGGACTCTGACAACCACACACTTTAAGGGTGTCTAGTTACTGGAGCCTCCAAGTATACCCGTTGCTACAGAGAAGCCCTTTGGTCATAGGAGGTTCAAATCTCTATTTAGTGTTACTAATTTTCTTTTCCTTATCTTGTTGTCTAGTATGTCCTCCTGGAGCTACCTCTTTACTCTACTTTTATAAGTGGGGATCAATATCCAGCATTAAAATGATCTCTTAGGTCCTTTGACACTTAACATTACATCTTCACACAGAAGAACACATTCTATTGCTGACACGCATGTCGACAGGATCATCACCATCATTATTATCATCATCATCAACATGTTGTGCGGTTGCATATCAAATGGGGCCCGCAGTCTACTCGTCTATTCCGTTCTGTACTGTGCAGTCAGTTTTTCTTCATCATCATCATCATCATCATCTTCTTTGGTCACCGGCTGTAAGGTTCGATGGAAAGTCCTGGCTGTTCATCTATTTGGACTTAGGCTTTGTGCTACGGCCTGCGTTTTGCCTGTACATCCGTTTTACTGGCTTACTTGTGTGCAGTTGCTTGTTCCCTGCCTCTCAGGCAGATGCACTCCGACTTGAATGGTAGCTCCCAGATAGTCGACTCCACTATATGTGAGTCTACCCCCCCCCCCCACGCCCCCCCATCCCCGCCTTTTTTCCCCTAATGGGTCTCCGTAACTCACACGGGAAGTGCAACAAATTCGCTATCATGGGTGAAAGGCACTAGAGCAACCTCTCATAAACATTCGTCTTAGGGTTTCTTTTGGGCGTCCCCGTTTCCTCAGTCTCTTTATTGCCCAGTTTAGTAACCGTAATACATGCTCTGTGTGCATCACATCCAACTTGATTAGTTTGTTTACCACAGTGGCTTCTGCCTAGACAGTTTTTGCAGCATTTGTTTCTAAAGGGTGGTGGACGCTGGCCCCACTCCCAACCCTTCTCCTTTTTTCATCCCGGTCTAGGACCGGCAATGGCTGATGTAGTTGACCTTAAACGCAGAGATGACGTGAAACATGTTAAGCGTGAGCTCGACATCACAGTAGTGGTGACACATGGTGCGCACGTGCATGCACTAGACGCCGCTGGTTGGGTGGCGTCATCAAGAACGTCGCGCAAAGATCTACTTGCTGTGCCTGCCGTGAAACAGCTTGTATTGTGTCCGCATCTCTTACAGCAATCGTTGGTGACAATGTCCATCTCACTGCAGCTGACCTCTCGGAGACACAGGCCAGAGCTCGGCTAGATTGTCATGCGTACATGGAGGGGCAGGTGGCGCCAGACATGTTGGGATACTGCAGCACTGTAGACATCCCACACCTGGACGAGACCAACACTAGCAGCGAGACGGAATCCGACCTAGGCGACTCGCAGCTGGAGCAGCAGCTGGCTGTGGTTGTAGAAACTGTGGTGGCATCTCATCTAGCTGGCACGTTGCCTCGGCCTTCCTCTCCAGGTACGTGTCGCGTTTGGTTAGACAGGTGTCACGTCTTGTTACATCAGGTAGGTTTCACCCCTTGATACATCAGGTAGGTGTCAAGTCTTGTTACACCGGGTAGGTGTCACGTCTTGTTACATCTGATAGGTGTCACATCTTGTTACATCAGGTAAATTCCACTTCTTGTTATATAAGACAAGTGTCACGTCTTGTTACATTAGGTAGGTGTAGCGTCACCCTCCTCACACATTGTGGTATGTACAACCTCCTCACACATGGTGGTATGTATCTCTTTCCCTAGCCGGCTCTCCGGCCTCATGTGCTTTCATTGCCAAAGCATCTTCAATGTCCTGTATCCATCTTTGCGGTGGTCGACCCCTGCCTCGCCTTCCACTAACCACACCCTCCATCACCACCGTTTCCACGCCAGCATGACGCTTGATGTGACCTAAATACTTCAACAGGATGCTGTTTATGAGCCAGTTCTCCTTGATGTTCAACTCGTTTAGAATGTCTGTTTTTTCCTCTTCTTGATCTTTGGTATTCTCAGAATTGTTCTATAACATTTCAATTCAAAAGCTTTAACCTGTTTCCTCGGTGACTAAGTGAGAGTCCATGACTCACAACCGTAAGTTGCCACATAAAAAAGCATGAACTCAAGATTTTACTTTAAACCAATTTACTAGCGCTTTGCCATGAGTTCTTCATGCTGTTCAATCTCTGCATTGCTAATGTGTGATGACCCTGCTTTGCATGGTCTCCACGAGTACATTGTGGCAAGCAGGAAGTCCGTGCTACAAGTGACGGCACGAGATACTTGTGGCCGGTAGAGTAAGCGAGGCGAAGCCCGAGCTAGCCTCGTGGTCAGTCGATCATCAGAAGTCAGTGAAGACGGTTGTAGTAATTGAAGATGTAGTTTTTATGTTGTGAATGGTTAGTGTTCGAATATGTCGCGAGTGAAATAAATGTGAAATAAATGGACCAGAATAAACTGACAGAATGTACAATGAAGCTGAGTGGCGTTTGTGTTGTCAACCCTAGACGTTGAAGCCGGTGCAAACCAAGGTTAATTCCAAGTGAAGCATCGACTCATTCCAAGTTGAATAAGAATCATTTCACAAAGCAAGTCTTCTTGTGACTTTTTTCGAGCTGTCGACACTCTTGTTCACTAAAGAGCCCAAGTATTTGAAAGCTGTTACATTCTCTAATTTTTCATTTTCAATTGTGATATGTTGTTGCTGTGCCGTATTTACTGACAACATAATAAAAATTTTTTTTTTTTTTTAAATCGGAAACAGATTCACTTCTTCGCTGTGAATTAATTTTCCGAAACCTTGTACACTGTTGGAAAGGAGAACTGTGTCGTCTGCATATCTGAGTTCTGGAATAGGATTAGCGCAAATTTCTAGTGGATCATATCACTCACAGGAACTGCTCACTTGAACTTAGAGTCTGTTTAGTTTTCTGGACCTGCCTGATGTCAAGTTTAATTAGATTTCTGTAACACATATCGACTATTGCACCGACCACAATGTAAATTCAAGGTAAAGAGGTTGGGCTAAGCGTCGATTATTTTCTCAACATCTCCAAGAATTAAAGTTTAGTATAATGACAAAAGTCAACTATTTCCCCAGCAACCTGACCGAATTGAATGTTTATTGACTGTTTCAATGACAAATATTGACTTTTCCACCTTCTGTTCCAGGGCTTGTCGCCTACGTGATCAACCGCAACAGCAACAACGTGCAGCATGGACTGGAGTATGACGGGGCTGAAGACGTCAGTGATGCTGGGATTAGCAGAGACCAGCGTTTCTCAGACCAGCACGGTGTAGTGACGCTAACTGTGGGCCAGGCCGATGATGTCAACGTCAGCACAGTTTCTGACAGTCGCGCACTCGACGGCGCCTCGGGTGGTCTGGGTTGTCAGCCTGGCAGGCACGAAGGCGGCGACGTCAGCATGAACCATCAACTCGAGACTGGAAGCCAAAGTAACAATCCTGACCAACAAGGAAGTTCCCAAGGAAGAGGCCGACCCCCTGGTCGACACGCTGCCAGACCTCTGGTCATGGATTATGGCCAGCCTGACGACGTCGAGGAGGTCGACGAAGGTCATCTTTTCCATGTGGACATGGCTTTTGTTCACGGGATCATTATCGAACAGGTGGGACACAACCCTTTAGCCCAGACCGCAGGGACAGTTCCACCTGCCACCATTGGCCAGGATATGTTTGTGCAGACTCCCCTGCCAGAACCTGTAGTAGAACATGTCAGGTCAGATGTGGATGTGACTGCTGGGCCTGAAGTATCTGTAAGCGTGACGCCGCATTCATTCCACGAGCAGGATACAAATGCGGGCGTGAACCACGCCATAGGACACCACACCGGCATCAGCAGCCCGATACAGCTGCTGACGACTGCCTCTCTTCCTTATAACAACAACACTACGGACAGACCAGCTGTGGTCACAGTCTCTGTCTCTCCAGTTGACGAGTTTCTAAGGCAAAGTATATCAGAGACAGAGGCCGCGGAGACTCTTTCTGTGAACACGAGAGAACATGCTCAGTCAATGGAAGACGGTGGCAGGACACAAGCCTCCAGCAACACTGGAGTTTGTACATCAGATCCCACTGATACCTGTCGAGGCCTGCCTGCGTTTACCAACGATGACACGACAGCTGAAAGCCTGGAGACGATTTCTCTCAGTGGTCTGCTTGATGAGATCAGACCACCCACACACGCGAACACAGATCATCCTGATGGAGTTCAGCCTTTCAGTATTGCATTTCCAGGGGCGACCCAACCAGCCAGCCGGCAAGGGGACAACCCTGATAGTACCAGGTCCAGACAGGAAGCAGACGTGACAGAGAAGCCAGCCACCAATAGCAAAACAGACGCCAGCGCCGACTCCAGCTACGATGACATCCTAGACGAGCAGGAGATGCTGGCGTCGGCCGAAAACGACTTTGTCATCCTACCAGCCAGGGAGGCTGCCAGCCCTGTCATGGTGCCGGCAGAAAGAACCCAGCAGGATGCGGACAGCCTGTTGGAGCAAGTCATCAAAGGCAAGAGTGACCAAACGCTGGGTCCCAACATTGCTTCCCACGATCCTCGTCTTTGCTCGGACTCCGCGGACAAAGGAAACGATATCGGCATCAAAGGCTCGTTGGTTTGCGACACAGATCGTGCAGGAGATGATGGTGGCGTTGATGATGATCACGGTACACTTGCCAGCAGCCGAGCTGAGGCGGTGTCGGCAGATGAATGGAAAGGCGACACAGGTGACAGTGTCAATGGCATATACTGTGACGTCAGTGAGAACAGCTGTCGTGGAGATAACAGCTGTCCTGACTGGCCCATGCTAGTGGCCACTTCGTCTACAGCAAGCCAGGCTAACAAAGGTGGACATATTCTAGAAAAAAGCTTGGACCATGAACGGAACACACAGTCAAATGGCAGGGACTCACACCTGGACACTCATGGCACACATGCCCGAACTGACCAGTGCCACTGGGGTGACATACTAGCCACAGTAAGACACGTGAGGCACCAGCGGATTCCGATAGAACAAGATACAGTAATGGACTCAGTGGTGAACTCAACACCTCAGACTGGTGAACACACAAATAAACAAACAGAGAACGAAGCAAGTGTCATCCCAGGTAAGGCACACTCTTCAGAAGATCTACCTTACAGCGATGTCGTGTGTCTCTCTAGTCCACGCACCAGAGGCAGTCTTCCCGCCCGCTCGTGTCCACATGCTAGTGAGGTCCCCTCTGGGACAGGATGTACAGGCGAGGGTTGTGCAGCTTTGTCACAGTGTGAGCTCCTAGTAACAGCAGACACCACATCAAGGTGTGGCACTGACAATCAAATGGTGGCTAGAGACGTTACCGACGTCACATCGTCAGATGCAGCCTTTGAGATTAACACGGAAATCACGCGTGGCACCAACACCTACGCAGCCAGCAATATGGTGGAGCCACGAAACCAAACTGACGCCAGAATCGACACCAACAGAAATATGTCGTGGTCGCCCACAAGATGTTCTACAAGCCCACAAAACATCATCTCTCCCAGAAAGAATGCAAGCGCCAAAACTAACGAGATCACCTCCCAAAGAGAGAAAATTTACACTAGCGGGAATAGAATCCCATCTCCAACAGAGAACTGGAGCATTTACAACAAGAGCATTATCTCCTCAAGAGAGAATGAGAGCACTTATAGCAAGGACATGATCTCCCCGAGACAAAATGGCAGCATTTACAGCAAGGAAATGATCTCCCCAAGAGAGAATGGGAGCACTTATAGCAAGGACATGATCTCTCCGAGACAAAATGGCAGCATTTACAGCAAGGAAATGATCTCCCCAAGAGAGAATGAGAGCACTTATAGCAAGGACATGATCTCCCCGAGACAAAATGGCAGCATTTACGGCAAGGAAATGATCTCCCCAAGAGAGAATGGGAGCACCAGTAGTAAAGACATGATTTCCCTAAGAGAGAATAGCAGCACATATAGCAAGGGCATGATCTCCCCAAGAGAGAATGGGAGCACCAGCAGTAAAGACATGATTTCCCTAAGAGAGAATAGCAGCACATATAGCAAGGGCATGATCTCCCCAAGAGAGAATGGGAGCACCAGCAGTAAAGACATGATTTCCCTAAGAGAGAATAGCAGCACATATAGCAAGGGCATGATCTCCCCAAGAGAGAATGGCAACACATACAACAAGGGCATGATCTACCCAAGAGCAGATGGCAGTCCATACAGTAATGGCATGATCTCCCCGAGAGAGAATGAGAGCACTTACAACAAGGGCATGATCTCTACAGAAGAGAATGGGAGCATCAGCTGTAAAGACATGAACTCTCCGAGAGAGAATGGGAGCACTAGCAGCAAGAGAATCCTCTCCACGAGAAAAGAAATCATCGACAGAAAAGACACGATCTCCCCATTAGAGAGAGGGATGACCAGCACTGCCTTACTGCCAACAGCTGAAAACCCAGCAAGTAACAACACGGTAAGTTTTCCATTACCACAATCTGAATGTGGGGACATCGTAGACTCAGCAGCGCCCTCGGTGCCATGCACTCTCAACCCGGCTGATCCACCAGCAAATGTTGGAAGCTGTACACACATCCTGGCTGGGAATACCAAAGTCCGCGGTGTCATAGAGAGAGCTTTGTCTCCTAGACAGACACACAGCTGTGCCGGAAGGATGCTTTTACTGAAAGCCCCCATTAACCATGACACTGTAGTAGCTTCAGGCCTCAGAAGCCAGCAGGCCTCATCTGCCAGTGACACAAGCCAGGGCGTATTGTCATCAATAAGTAGCGATAACAGCGGTGGCCGAACCATTCCTCTGTCTGCCGATCTCCAAGCATCACCTGGCACAACCCAGCAACTGCACATTGCTTCTACTTGCCCTTCATTGGCAGAAATCCTGGGAAAGGAAGAGCATTTCACAACAAACGCTGCCCAAAGCTGCAATCATATGGTGCCCTCACCAAGACTTGAGTTTCTTGACACACAGAATTGCCACCGTAGTCTTCCTTCCATGAATGTTGAGAGCACTGCTGGCACTCTACTGGCTCCAGCAAGAAGAGACGAGAGCACTGACAGTAGCGTGTCCTTGTTGCCCAAATTCCAGGACAATGTTCAAAGACTACCGGCATCAACATCAGCTCGGGATCAAAGTGATTTGGGGTCGTGGCTTGTTTCTCAAGATGCGAACTCGGGCCAGAGGCAGGTCTCTGTCACGCCACGTGGCTCACAGGCTAACGTGTCAATGTCCTTGTCGGAGCCTGACATCTTGGATCCGCTCACCTGCTCAGGTGTGCCAGGTCCCGCCAGCACTAGAATTATTTCTGCTGCCCTGCCAGCCGACACAGAAGACCTACATGGCTCCGCCACTGACCGCACACGTTCACCAGTCACAGCCGGCTCAGCCAGCCAGCAGAGTAGCAGTCACGTAGCGGAGAGCCCGGACAAAGTGTTTAGGGACAAGATTCTGCAGGCGGAGATGGACGACTCCACGCCCACGCAGGGGTCCGGCGATGCTGGCACCTGCAGTTCTCATACCTCACACATCAGCTGCGACTGCTACAGTGATGTTGGTGCCATGATGTCTGCAGATGTCCAGGACATTGTTGAGATGGTGCCAGGAGATTATCCGGACAGTTTTGAGATGATGCCAGGGGATGCCCCGCACAGTGGTGTGATGATGTCTGGTAATGTTCCAGACAATGCTGAGACAATGTCAGCAGATGTTGCGGACAATGTTGAGATGATGTCTGGTCATTTTCCAGACAATGTTGAGGCGTTCTCTTGTTTCACCGTAAGGATGTCTGGGGTAACTTCCTGTGGGAGCAAAACTTACACTGAAGCCGGGACTTCTGACAAAGCATACGATGGTCAGGAGATGTGTTGTCACAAACATTGCAGAGATGAGCTGCCCAGTGCCGGAGAGTGGTGCAGGTACAACAACACGAACGGCGTTGAGGGCCTGCGTGCCGAGAGGAACAAACATATTACATGCTGCAAAGCAACGAGCCATACTGGACACCAAGTTGTTGATAACAACCATAGCAGATCTGACCTGCACACTGACCTTTCACCCGAGCAGTGTCAAGGCTGCAATGTAAGCCTCAGAGACTGGCTAGCATATCTAATTATTCAAAATCTGGAGACACAGAATGTGACGAGTGACCAGTCAGAAGTCAGGGACGATGGTCAGCACACAGGTCAGCAAGGCAGGATAGGTGGGGAAGAGACCACTGCGTGTCCAGCCATAGACACAGCTCTGAGCGATCGCTGTGAGGGAGTGCGTTTCAGCGACCAAGGGAGTCACAGATCACAGAGAGTAGTCAGAGATGTCTTCTCTCCATGGGAGACTGATGACGACTGTCGGAGCAGTGATATTGGCTCACAGATTGGAGACGACGAGGATGAAGGTGGCGATGAAACACAGACACATATCCGAGCATCGCCTAGTGGGCGAGTGTTTATGAGAAGTCAGTCTGCAGAAGAAGTCGGCATCAAAGATGATGTTGTTATGACGGCACCTGGTGAAAACTGGGTCATGCATTCTCTGGATGGTCAAGACCAGTTTGAACGTCACCCCAACACTAGCCTCCAGTCTATCCCAAAATGTCAGGAACAACGATACGCTGAGATAAACCTGCAAGTTGAGGGGCCAGCACCGGCCCAAGAGGCCAACACTGACAACATTGGCCTAGTAAATGTCATAGAGGAGAGCGATCCTTTTTATGGGAGACCGTCCGGAGTGGGAGACACCACAGGTACAGACCTGCACCTGGAACCCACCCGGCCAATGGTAGAAGATTTGATTCCTGTCGGGGAGGGCGCCCACGCAGTTGTCTCGGAGAGGTCGCCGGCAACTAACGGAGGCGCTTGGTGTCCTAGCCTGGGTAGAAGTGTCGACGCGTGTGTCCTCCCTGACAACAGAATTAGGGCAACCTCTGCCGTGGTCACGGGTTCTCCCAGAGAGTTTGAGCGTGGAGTGAATAAAGAAGATATGGCGTCAACAGAAGAGAATCTCGCAGAACGTATAAGAGAGAGCAGCGAGGAGCAGGAACTAGTAACAAGAGACAACGCGGCAAGAGCTGAAACATCAAGCTGGTGGCCAGATAAGGCAGCTGACTGTGTGCACCAGATGGCGCATGACTACTTCTCATTGACCCAGCTACAGTTGAATGGTTGCCAGGTTGGAGAAAGTGATCCAAATTTACTTGTTCATGAGACAAACCCATGCAGTCCCGAGAGATTAGCCACTCCTGTACATTTAGTTAGAAGCAGCGCTGCTGAAAACAGCCTCGACACCATAGACAAGATGGCGTCTTTGTATGGCTTCATTTCTGGAGAGGTCGAGGAATTTGGCGCCCGAAAGGGAACCGGAAATTTAAGGATGACAGGAAATGATATCGCCGAGACAAGGTCAGGGTCGATTATAACAGGGAGCAGCTCAGTAGATTTAAACACAGAACTTGCGAGCAGCGGGGGTTGGCAGCTACCACCCAGTATGCCCGGTGTTACCTCAAAATGTGAAACATTAGATTTAGAACAATATGTAATCATGCCAACTGTGGGGCCTAGCCAGGTTTACACTGAGAGACTGACTAGACATGACCAGTGTCCGACCGCCCAGGTTATTCTAGAAGCTACAGATAAATGGTTGAGTCGAATCACCGACATCTGCAAATCTCCCGACTTCCTGACGTCCACGTCCAACAGCCAACAGCTGCACGCCCTGGCCGCCCATTGCAAGTCGGAGATACTCGCCATATCCCGCAGTCCACACTTCACAGACAAAGGAGACGTGGCCTCCAGGGCCTCGACCCCAGGCAGCAGACGTTGTCGCGGGCACATCTCTGGAGCTGGCGGCCACAAAGAAGACTGCCCAGAGATTTTTGAGATGATGGGCTTGCCAGAGGACACTGCGGCCAGCGAACACCTACTGCCCAGTAAGAACGTTTTCACGCCGAGACCTCCGAGCAGTGGGTGCAGGAACCCGTTCACCAGCCTTCGGCTGCGCAGTGCCAAGTTTAAAACCCTGGGAAGTGGCCCAGCAACAGCGTCTGCTGGTGTACAGGCGGAGAGCCTGGGTTCACCACCTTGCCAAGCTCTGATGCCCAGCACCCCCGCAGCCATGTGCGTTGAGTCTGGTACATCATTACCCCAGGACAGGGCGTGTGTCAGCTCTTCAAACCTAATCAGTAATGACATCTATGAGAAGACTGGCGATATTCACGACTCCATTGACAATCTGCCGAGTCCTCGGGTCGATAGAGAAGCGAAGGATGTGGTAGGTGGTGTTACATTAAATAACGACACGGGCACTAAGCAGGTGGAAGATGAAGACACCAGAGGTAACAGCTATCATAAATCCGAGTTGCCGGAGAGCGGGCCAGGAAACAGCAGCAGCGGCAAACTGTTTAAGCGAAGGTTTGCCGGCTGTCAACGGAGACAGAAATCGGAACAGGAACCTGACGTCACGGGGTCCAGTTGGAGCCGAGACAAGTCTCAGGACGGAGCGGACAGTCGACCGCGGAGTGACTGCCGGACTCCGTACACAAGCGCCGTGCAGACGCCAGCGACCACGTCTTTTGAGTGCATCAGTGATGAGACGGACAGCGGCGACAGGACCACGACCCCAGCAATGTCCACACCTCAAGTCTACTCTAGGGCTCACACCCACACAGGCAGACACGGTAATCCTAGATCCAGACCTACCCTACAGCCGAAGCACTCTGGTCCCCACCACACGGCAATCGCTAGAAAACAGGACATCCCTAGGAGCAAACAACCTCAAATAACAGCTACAGCAACTAAATCAGCAGCTACTACAACTAAATCAGCAGCTATAGCAACTAAATCGGCAGCTACAACAACTAAAACAACACACGGAAAATGTATGAAAATGACAACGCCAACCGTCCTAACCTCGACACGTGACATGTGCCCTAATGGGAAGCCACCACCCGCCATAACCTCGACACGTGGACAGTGTCCGACATTAGCACCACCAACCACCACACCAGCGGAAAAGGAAACAGTTGGTCAAGATTTACCTGCAAAACACATCAACAGGGTGAAGATTGAACGTGAGTACACAGTCTGTCCAGCTTCTGTACTTATCACTGAGACAAGGAACACGATGTGTTGTGTCCAGCAGTAGGTCAGGGAAATAGATCTGTTGTGTCCACCAGTAGGTCAGGGAAATAGATCTGTTGTGTCCAGCAGTAGGTCGGGAAACTAGATCTGTTGTGTCCAGCAGTAGGTCGAAAAATAGATCTGTTGTGCCCAGCAGTAGGTCGGGAAACTAGATCTGTTGTGTCCAGCAGTAGGTCGGGAAACTAAATCTGTTGTGCCCAGCAGTAGGTCAGGAAACTAGATATGTTGTGTCTAGCAGTAGGTCAGGAAACTAGATCTGTTGTGTCGAACAGTAGGTCAGGCAACTAGATCTGTTGTGTCCAGCAGTAGGTCGGGAAACTAGATTTGTTGTGTCCAGCAGTAGGTCAGGTAACTAGATCTGTTGTGTCCAGCAGTAGGTCAGGGAACTAGATCTGTTGTGTCCAGCAGTAGGTCGGGAAACTAGATCTGGTGTGTCCAGCAGTAGGTCGGGAAACTAGATCTGTTGTATTCAGCAGTAGGTCAGCTAACTAGATCTGCTGTGTCCAGCAGTAGGTCGGAAAACTAGATCTGTTGTGTCAAGCAGTAGGTCGGGAAACTAGGTCTGTTGTGTCCAGCAGTAGGTCGGGAAACTAGATCTGTTGTATCCAGCAGTTGTTCGGGAAACCGTATCTGTTGTGTCCAGCAGTAGATCAAGGAACTAGAGCTGTTGTGTCCAGTACTAGATCAGGGAACTAGATCTGTTGTGTCCAGCAGTAGGTCAGGAAACTAGATCTGCTGTGTCCAGCAGTAGATCAAGGAACTAGATCTGTTGTGTCCAGTATTAGATCAAGGAACTAGATCTGCTGTGTCCAGTATTAGATCAAGGAACTAGATCTGTTGTGTAAAGGTATAATTCAGCGCATCACAGGTGAACTTGATAACATTTAAAGCACACAGTGTCAGCTTGTTGATATTTCTAGTTCTAGCTTCAAAGGGAACGGACACTGGTCAGAGTGAGTGTATGTTCTACAGACATTGAACGCTCTTGCAGCAGATGTTTAACCGGTATTTCCGATAGCCCAAATATGTTTTGCAAGGTGATGATTCTAAAGCCACTGAGCTTAGTATGATCTTTAAAAGGTTTTGGTAGTGGAATTAGATAGCTGTGCACCCAGTCCTGCTGTCTGGTAGTCTGGTAGTCTGGTAGTCTTAGTTTCAGCTTCATAGCAAACGGGTCGCCCCATCTTTGCTCCGCTCCTGTGCCAGCGAAAAACACCCAGAATGTTTATCACAGTCCCTTGTGGAAAGATTGACAGACTGCTGTCTCAGTCCTGCTGTACTGATGCTGTCTTAATGCTCTGGTTAAATCAGTCGGCCATCTCTGCCAGGTCTACATCGCTCAAAGCCTTCATGTGACCATACCTGACTCCATCAGGCCCTGGTGCAGTGTCTTTTGCTTTTTTCAAAATTTGTTTGATATCTTCCACTTATATCATGTCTTCATAATGCATATTCTTTAAAGTGCCAGCTAACTCCTTTCTAACTGTATCCCACTTTGCTCTTTTAGCCTCTGCAGCACAGCGCTTGAAAACCTCAACCCTATCTTTTTTTCACATTCTCCGCCATCTCCACTTCCCCTCGTGAGCTTGAGGGTGTCTGTCGTACTTTCTTTAGCTGCTTCACTGCGGCTCTCTTTGCCTTCCACGCCTGTTCCACTTCTAGAGTCTACCACAGGGGCTGTAGAAAATTAGTTATATGTTGTGACATCACTCGAATGTTTCCCACACCAGCCAGTAGGGCTTTTAACGAGGATATGTATATGTTGTGACTTTACCCTAATGTTTCCCACACCAGCCAGTAGGGCATTTAACGAGAATATGTATGTGTTGTGACTTCACCCTAATGTTTCCCACACCAGCCAGTAGGGCATTTAACGAGGATATGTATATGTTGTGACTTTACCCTAATGTTTCCCACACCAGCCAGTAGGGCATTTAACGAGAATATGTATGTGTTGTGACTTCACCCTAATGTTTCCCACACCAGCCAGTAGGGCATTTAACGAGGATATGTATATGTTGTGACTTTACCCTGATGTTTATCTACGTGTAACTACCATTTTCAGCGCTCAAGGTGAAGGCCGCCGGAAAAAGCAAGCCCTGTAAGGTAATTAGCACAATCTGCGTGACTTCACATTATGTGATGATAGTTAATGAGAGAATATTTCGGTGATGACGGTTAATAGAACAGTTTAGTGATAATAGTTAATGAAGGAATAATTGGATGATGATAGTTAATAAGGGAATAATTGGGTTTGATAGTTAATAAAGGAAAAATGTGGTGATGATGGTTAATAGAATAATTGGGTGATAATAGTTAATGAGTGAATAATTAGATGACAATGGTTAATGAGGGAATAATTGGGTGATAATAGTTAATGAGGGAAAAATTGGGTGATGCTAGTTAATGAGGGAATTATTGGGTTCGATAGTTAATACGGGAATAATTTGGTGATAATAGTTAATGAGGGAATAACTGGGTCATGCTAGTTAAAAAGGGAATAATTTGATTTGACAGTTAATGAGGGAATAATTGGTTTTGATAGTTAATAAGGGATTAATTGGGTTTGATAGCTAAGGGAATAATTGGGGGATGATGGTTAATGAGGGAATAACTGGGTTTGATAGTTGGTGAGAGAATAATTGGGTTCGATAGTTGATGAGGGAATAATTTGGTGATAGTACTTCATGAGGGAATAACTGAGTAATGATAGTTAATGTAGACTAAAAGGAGGCTGATAATTATTGAAAGAATAGCTGAGGGATAATGGTTATTGGGATAGTAGCTGAATGATGATAGTTAATAGGGAAATAGCTGAATGATAAGAGATAATGGGGTATGGATGAATGATGATAGTTAATGGGGCAATTGTTCAAATGACAATAGGTAATTAGAGAATAGCATAATGAGAAGAGTTAATGAGGAAGGTTAGTGAGGAAATGGCTTAATAATGATAGTTAATGAGAAAATAGCTGAATGATGTTAGTTTATGAGGAAATAGCTGAATGATGATAGTGAATGAGGAAATTGCTGAATAATTATTGGTAATAAGGAAAAGGCTGAATGATGATAGTTAATGAGGAAATAGCCAAATGATAGTTAATTAAAAAATAGCTGAATGATGATAGTTTTAAGGAAATTGAATGATGATAGTTAATGAGAAAATGTTTGAATGAGGATAGTTAATGAGGAAATGGCCAAATGATGATAGTTAATGAAAAAATAGCTGAATGATGATAGTTAATGAGACAAATGGTAAATAATGAAAGTTAAAGAGGAAATGGCCAAATGATGATAGTTAATGAGGCAATAGGTAAAAAATGATAGTTAATGAGAAGATGGTTGAATGATGATAGTTAATGAGCAAATGGCCAAATAATGATAGTTAATGAAAAAATAGCTGAATGATGATACTTAATGAGGCAATAGGTAAATAATGATAGGTAATGAGAAAATGGTTGAATGATGATAGTTAATGAGGAAATGGCAAAATGATGATAGTTAATGAGGCAATAGTAAATAATGATATTAATGAGACAGTAGGTAAATAATGATAGTTAATGAGGAAATGGCCAAACGATGATAGTTAATGAGGCAATAGGTAAATAATTATAGGTAAAAAGAAAATGGTTGAATGATGATAGTTAATGAGGAAATGGCCAAATGATGATAGTTAATGAAAAAAATAGCTGAATGATGATAGTTAATGAGACAATAGGTAAATAATGATAGTTAATGAGAAAATGATTGAATGTTGAAAGTTAATGAGGAAATGGCCGAATGATGATAGTTAATGAAAAAAATAGCTGAATGATGATAGTTAATGAGGCAATAGGTAAATAATGATAGTTAATGAGAAAATGGTTGAATGTTGATAGTTAATGAGGAAATGGCAGAATGATGATAGTAACTGTGCAGTGTATCATTGTGTCCCAGTTGAAACAGTCCTTGTGTCCTTGTTTGTGTCCTACCTAAGGCAATATCTGTGCCCCACATGACGTGACCTGTATGCACGTCAGTGTTCCACTTAATGTGATCTCTGTGAGCATATCTGTGCTCCACTAGATGTGACTCATGTGTATATATGTGTCCCACTTGACGTGACCAGTGTGTATGTATATGTCACGCTTGCGTGACCCGTATCCATGTCTGTGTCCCACTTGATGTGACCCATGTGTGTGTGCTTGACGCAACCCATGTTACAATATAGGAATTTCTGCCACCGTATTTCAATGTCATTATTTAGTGTAGTCTGTCTGTACACCAGGGCATCACCATGCAAGAGTTTGAACGCATCCAGCAGAACCGGCACCTGTCAGAGGCCTTCGCCCGTATCAACAGTAGCAAGGCTTGCGTCGATTGTCACATGGACAGCAGATATCTGGACAAGCATGGCCCGTAAGTTACACCCTGTCTGTCTGTCCACCACTCATATCCTTGTTGTCTGTCTGTCTGTCCACCACTCATATCCTTGTTGTCTGTGTGTCTGTCTGTCCACCACTCATAACCTTGTTATATGTCTTTCCACCCCTCACACCCTGGTTGTCTGTCTGTCTGTCTGTATGTCTGTCTGCCTGTCTGTCCACCACTCACACCATTTTTGTCTGTCTGTCTGTCCACCACTCACATCCTGGTTGTCTGTCTGTCTGTCCACCATTCACACACTGTTTGTCTGTCTGTATGTCCTCCATTCACACCCTGGTTGTCTGTCTGTCTGTCCACCACTCACATCCTTGTTGTCTACTTGTCTGTCCACCACTCACATCCTTGTCTGTCTGTCCACCACTCACACCCTGGATGTCTGTCTCTGTCCAACATTTACACACTGTTTGCCTGCCTGTCTGTCCACCACTCACATCCTTGTTGTCTGTCTGTCCACCACTCACACCCTTGTTGTCTGTCTGTCCACCACTCACACCCTGGATGTCTGTCTCTGTCCAACATTTACACACTGTTTGCCTGCCTGTCTGTCCACCACTCACACCCTTGTTGTCTGTCTGTCCACCACTCACACCCTTGTTGTCTGTCTGTCCACCACTCACATCCTTGTTGTCTGTCTGTCCACCACTCACATCCTTGTTGTGTGTCTGTCCACCACTCACATCCTTGTTGTCTGTCTGTCCACCACTCACACCATTGTTGTCTGTCCACCACTCACATCCTTGTCTGTCTGTCCACCACTCACATCCTTGTTGTGTGTCTGTCCACCACTCACATCCTTGTTGTCTGTCTGTCCACCACTCACATCCTTGTTGTGTGTCTGTCCAGCACTCACATCCTTGTTGTCTGTCTGTCCACCACTCACACCCTTGTTGTCTGTCTGTCCACCACTCACATCCTTGTTGTCTGTCTGTCCACCACTCACACCCTTGTTGTCTGTCTGTCCACCACTCACATCCTTGTCTGACTGTCCACAACTCACATCCTTGTTGTGTGTCTGTCCACCACTGACAACCTTGTTGTCTATCTGTGTGGAAGCCCCTACAGTGTGTGACAGGTGACAACAAGGGACTACCTGTGTGGAAGCCCATACAATGTGAAAGGTGACAACACAGGACTACCTGTGTTGAAGCCCATACAGTGTGTCACAGGTGACAACACGGGACTACCTGTGTGAAAGCCCCTAAAGTGTATGACAGGTGACAACAAGGGACTACCTGTGGGGAAGCCCCTACAGTGTGCGACAGGTGACAACACAGGACTAACTGTGTGGAAGCCCCTACAGTGTGTCACAGGTTACAACACGGGACTACCTGTGTGGAAGCCCCTAAAGTGTATGACAGGTGACAACACGGGACTACCTGTGTCGAAGCCTATACAGTGTGTGACAGGTGACTACACGGGACTACCTGTGTGGAAGCTACTACAGTGTGTGACAGGTGATAACACGGGACTACTTGTGTGGAAGCCCCTACAGTGTGTGACAGGTGACAACACAGGACTACCTGTGTGGAAGCCCCTACAGTGTGTGACAGGTGATAACTAGGGAATGCCTGTGAAGAAGCCCCTACAGTGTGTGACAGATGACAACACGTGACTACCAGTGCCTAAGACTGCAACCCTTGTCCCCAGATCCTTAAGGCGGCGGCGCGAGAGAGTCAACTACAACTGTCTGATCGCCCTGGAGAACATCAAGTTCCTGGAGATGTTGCGCTACAAGAAGTCTGTCTACAGACGGGACGGTCAGCTGCAGGATTTCAAGGTCACCTTTTAAAAATTCGTTTGAGAACTAACATCATCAGGTAGCGTTCTCTGTTAAGCCACGCCCTAGGTCCTCACTCCCATATCCCAGGCGGCGGTATTTGTACTCTAGGCATTCAATCCCCATATCCCAGGCGGCGGTATTTGTACTCTAGGCATTCAATCCCCATATCCCAGGCGGCGGTATTCGTACCCTAGGCATTCAGTCCCATATCTCAGGCGGCGGTATTCGTACCCTAGGCATTCAGTCCCATATCTCAGGCGGCGGTATTCGTACCCTAGGCATTCAATCCCCATATCCCAGGCGGCGGTATTCGTACCCTAGGCATTCAGTCCCATATCTCAGGCGGCGGTATTCGTACCCTAGGCATTCAGTCCCATATCCCAGTTGATGTATCTCTACATGATGTTATGGACACAGAAGATGTATCTGTAGATGATGATGATGATATATATATATATATATATTTCTTTTTTTAACGTATCCAGAAACCATGAGTTGTAAACCCTTTGGCTCGGTAATATGGATATCGCAACCCTTCCGCCTTGATTCCATTATAGGTACCGTTTATCTGGGAGAAATATAGCTTTTCTGCCTACCCCTGGGAGTGAACACAAGGAGTTCGTCACCCGGCCGCCGCGAAAGTCAGGTTTAACCAACTTCGCTAGAGAGCCGGGAATATATATATATATATATATATATATATATATATATATATATATATATATATATATATATATATGATGATGACATGTACACAAACGTTGTATCTGTATATGATTTTATGTGCACACATTTTGTATGTGTAGATGATGTTGTATATAAGTAAGATGTACCAGCAGATACTGTTGTTTACATACAACATGTTGTATCTGTAGATGTTGTTGTTTACATACAACATGTTGTATCTGTAGATGTTGTTGTTTACATACAACATGTTGTATCTGTAGATGTTGTTGTTTACACACAAGATGTTGTATCTGTAGATGTTGTTGTTTACACACAAGATGTTGTATCTGTAGATTTGGTTGTTTACACACAAGATGTTGTACCTGTAGATTTGGTTGTTTACACACAAGATGTTGTACCTGTAGATTTGGTTGTTTACACACAAGATGTTGTACCTGTAGATTTGGTTGTTTACACACAAGATGTTGTACCTGTAGATTTGGTTGTTTACACACAAGATGTTGTATCTGTAGATGTTGTTGTTAACACGCAAGATGTTGTATCTGTAGATGTTGTTGTTAACACGCAAGATGTTGTATCTGTAGATGTTGTTGTTAACACGCAAGATGTTGTATCTGTAGATGTTGTTGTTAACACGCAAGATGTTGTATCTGTAGATGTTGTTGTTAACACGCAAGATGTTGTATCTGTAGATGTTGTTGTTAACACGCAAGATGTTGTATCTGTAGATGTTGTTTACACACAAGATGTTGTATCTGTAGATGTTTTAGTGTACAAGAAGATGTTGCATCTGTAGATGTTTTAGTGTACAAGAAGATGTTGCATCTGTAGATGTTTTAGTGTACACAGAAGATGTTGTATCTGTAGATCTTGTTCTGTACACAGAAGATGTTGTATCTGTAGATGTTGTTGTGTACACAGAAGAACTACCGGAAGATGCTGGAGATGGGCAAGCACGCTGACCAGTGGCCGGACATGGGCTTGCTGGACTATAGCCTCTACGACAAGGCTGGCTCGGACATTGCGAGGTGTCAGTTTCAGTTTTCTCCTGGTCATGGTCAGTTGTCTAATCACCATCATCACTACCACCACCACTACAAACATCACCATCATCACTACCACCATTACTACAAACATCACCATCATCACTACCCCCACCACTACAAACATCATCACCATCATCACTACCACCACCACTACAAACATCATCACCATCATCACTGCCACCACCACTACAAATATCACCATCATCAATACCACCACTACTACAAACATCATCACCATCATCACTACCACCACTACTACAAACATTTTCACCATCACCACTACCACCACCACTACAAACATAATCACCATCATCACTACAACAACCACTACAAACATCATCATCATCACGAGCATCACTACCACCACCACTACAAACATCATCACCATCATCACTACCACGACCACTACAAACATTATCACCATCACCACTACCACCACTACTACAAACATTATCACTATCAAGAGTAACACTACCACCACCACTATAAACATCATCAGTATTACGATCATCACTACCACCACCACTACAATCATCAGCATTACAATCATCACTACCAAAACCACTACAAACATCATCAGCATTACAATCATCACCACCACCACCATTACAAACATCATCAGCATTACAATCATCACTACCACCACCACTACAAACATCATCATCATCACGATCATCACTATCACCACCACTACAAACATCATCACATCATGAGCATCACTACCACAACCACTACAAACATCATCACTATCATAAGCATCACTACCACCACCACAACAAACATCATCACCATCATAAGCATCACTACCACCACCACTACAAACATCATCACATCATGAGTATCACTACCACCACCACTACAAACATCATCACCATCTTGAGCATTACTACCACCACCACTACAAACATCATCACCATCTCGAGCATTACTACCACCACCACTACATACATCATCATGAGCATCACTACCACCACCACTACAAACATCATCACCATCATGAGCATCACTACCACCACCACTACAAACATCATAACCATCATGAGCATCACTACCACCACTACTACAAACATCATCACCATAAAAAGCAGCATTACCACCACCACTACAAACATCATCACCATCACAAGCATCACTACCACCACCACTACAAACATCCTCACCGTCACGAGCATCATAACCACCACCACCATACAGATCATCACCATCATCACTACCACCAATACTACAAACATCATCATCTATACTGCTACAATCAGTGCAATATTTAGATATCTCATGATTGCAGTTGTGACCTATGCGATGGCCATTACTGTGCTTATTGGCTATCCATGTAAACGGGTCTGTCCCTGGGGTTTAGCACTGTGTGACTAGAAGACTGACATCTGTTTGGTTACTTGACTGAGGCCTCGGAGTTGTGGTTTTACAAATGATAGCCGGACATTGTCTGGAACCTGCACCAGGAGAAACGATCTTGTTGACAGGGCTAGGACTCGAGGACAGGTCAGCACAGAAATCAGAACGAGGTTGGTGTCGTTTTGTAGTAGATGACGAGTGGAGAGATACAACGGGCACGTGTTATTGACATCTGGAAAGTTTGATAGAAGCAGAGTTAGACGATAACAACAGTATATTCCTAATAGCCTGTGGGCAGGCGTCGGCACAGGAATTGATACATCTGTTGGAGACAGAGTTTACGGAGACGCTTGGTCGATATTGTAATCAGTATTGTTCTGTGTATGTGCATGTGTGTGCATGTGTGTGTGTATCTGTGCGTGTGTGCATGTGTGTGTGCGTATGTGTAGTCTTTGATGATTCATGTGTACAAATTACACACAAAACAAGACACCCCGAACTTCTGATCAACGTTGACGCGTTGTTTGTCAATGTTTCAAGTCAACAACATAGACACATGTCTATGTGCTAACATTGGTTGGTATTTACCTTCTGTCATACTTGGTCACACATTCAGACGCACTCGCACACATTTTCACACAGAGTGCTCACCTTCTGCTTGTTACGTCCACAGTTTGAGTTCCCTCGCTGTGACATCATGACCGGATTGTAGCCAATCGTTTGCTCTGAACAATTCTTTGGTTTTTTTTTTTTTTTGTTTCCCATGTTTTTAAATGAATTTTTATACAAATCAAAAAATGGAACTGTGCTATGTTTGTCTTGTTGTCTGATTACCATCTATGTGGTCTCTGTCTGTTGTGTGTATGCCGTCTGTTGTTCTAAGCGTTATGGTTGCCGAAACACCTATAGTCGATCACCCACTCATAGCTGAACTTTCACTTATAGTGGATCCCTTCAGTTGTAACCGTTGTAGTTGCTGCCACACTCATAGTCGATCACCCACTCGTAATCGTAGAAACCAAACAGAAATGTAAAATGGTGTCCTCTTTCAGCTGCCCGAAGGCCAGCTTTATTGAAGACAGTCCCTTTGCTATCTGATTTTCATTTGTTTCTGTGTGGCGATCGTTTTTGCCTAAGTTAGATTTTTTGCTGGTATATCATGTCTGCACGATCAGGCTTGGCGGGCGGTTTCCAGTTTTTTGGGAGTGGATCTGGCAGTCCTGAGAAGGACTGCCATTTTTGCCTGGGGCGGCCTGGAACGGGAATGGGCGGGTATATAACACCCACTCATAGTTGAACTGCCACTTATAGTCGATCCCCCCTCCCCCAGTGGTAAACGTTATATTCGATGCCACACTTATAGTCGATCACCACCCACTCATAGTTGAACAAGGACGTCTGCTGAGTATGGTCACGTGTTAGCGGGGTAGCCCTTTGACAGAGCTGCGTCTTCTGTTTAATAAACACTCACTTTTTTAGATAGTTTAAGCACATGCACCATTTTTCGGGGGGGGGGGGGGGGGTAATTGGAGGGAGGGGAGTGGAGGGTAGGGGGGATTACCAATAAACTACTAACATTTATTAACTGGTGCTTGCTTAGAATGTAGGAAATAAAATGGTATGAGAGAATCACGAATGTTGAGCTTTTGAAGCGAACTACGCATATTATGGTGAATTGAGTGGTGTTTAAAAGACGCCAGCGTTCGACAGGACACACGTTGAGAAAGCCTGAGAACAATAGTATAAGGGAAATGTTTTTCCACTGGTAAAAAAGGCAGACAACGCGCGCACGCGCACACACACACAACACACACACACACACATATATATATATATATATATATATATATATATATATATATATATATATATATAGAGAGAGAGAGAGAGAGAGAGAAGGCAGCTGGAGAGTGAAGTTAAGACATTATGGACATGAGGTGAGCTGATGACAAAGTCTAGGAGGACCACTTGAGGTCAGCTGGTTAAGGTCGTGTGTTCCACTTGGAAGTAAACGACAGGCGAAGAAGTTGTAAAAATAGATTTGTAGGAATAAGCTGAATTTTGACTAATGAATTAAGAATCGTCATCACACTCCCATAAGTGATCCGTCCCTATCTTCAGCAGCCAGCAAAGAGTTCAAATTCCGATGGCACCAGTAACCGTCTGATTGTATATCCGTCTCACCCTTCCCCTGAGTGTTGAGTGTCGGACAGATCCCATGGTAACTCCTCGCAGCGCCCTTCTCCTCAGACCGCAATGATCTGTATGCATCACCGCACTGTTCACTCGTTCCCAGTTATAGGAATAAGTTGGAAAAGATATGTAGGATTTGATATATAATAATATATTTTTAAGAAAAAGCAAGAAAAGATTTGTAGGCATATATATGAAGAATTAGATATGTAGGAATAGAACTGAAGGAATAGACATGTAGAAATAGATTTATAGGAATAGATATGTAGGAATAAATATTGCATGGAAACAATAAACAGGGAAAGCTGGAAATTTCTGGATTTATTGTCAATAGCCAGATTATTAAAGATTGAACAGCCTTAACAGTCTATGGTTAAACACCAGCAAGGAGATCAAAATTAGAATTTTGAGAGCATGCATCTTCCCTGTGGCTACATGCGGATGTGAGTTTTAAACTTCTCCCAGTCCAAGAAAGAGAATAGGGGCTTTTGAGCTGAAATGCTATAGAAAGATTATCAGAATATCTTGGACAGAGAAGATGAGAAATATTGACATCTTAAAAGATCTGAACATCGAGGAAAATTGGCTAATATACAGCGTCCTTTCTCGAAAGCTGAAATATTTTGGTCATATCAAGCGCAACGACGGATTGGAAAAAATTATAGCAGAAGGCATGGTACCAGGAAGGAGGGGCAGAGGCCGACCGACACGAAGATGGATACAGGATATAAGTGACTCCTTGAGTGTGAAAGTTCATGAGGCGGGGGAACTGGCGAGAGACCGAGTTTCTTTCAGGCAGACTGTGATGAGAGCGACCTTCTGCAAAGGACCTGCTACACGATGATGAGCCAGATTATGTAGTGCACATTTTTTTAAGTAATTTTTTTTTAAATGCAAAAGGAACATTTTTAGCAAATCTACCCGGTGCTCAAGGAGGGATGAAATTGGAAGGTTTACAGCCCTATCGGTTTGGGGCAGAATACGCTAAAGATTAAAGCAATCGGGGGGGGGGGGTTGGGAGCTGACGTAGTCTAGCGGCTAGACGCTCGACTGAAGATCGGAAGGTCGTGGGTTCGGTACCTGACGAGGGCCGTATTAAAAACAAATGACTTTGGCTCCCAGGTCGACCCCGCCTTGGGTGGGTACCAGGTACAGTCCTGGGAAGTAAAGGCGGCTGGCGTGAGGCTGACCACATCACCCAGCAAATGTCGTTTGGTATATACAAAATAAAGGTCTAGCCCTATTTCCCAATACGCCTAAAAGGCGAGGAAAGGGGTCGTTTACTTTCACGTTTAATCACGGGGCACACACAGACAAACCGGCCAGGTTTTTGGACTTGGTCACGCCAAACTGTGGTCCAAAGCATTAGCCAGAGAACGCAGACAGATGATAACACAGCAAATCAGTCCAGCAGTGGCAGCAAGGCCAGTAGACAGGATACCAGGAAGCAGTGCAGAACTGCCTCTCCTGGACGACCAACTGTGGAGCATGGAATCTCTGTAGCTGCTTCCTTATCAGGTCTATGCACGACGTACTTCCGTCTGCTGCGAATCGAGCGAAATGGGGTAAAGTGGAAGATACATCATGCCCATTATGTGGGGTAAAGCAAACAATGAAACACATTATGTCCGCTTCCAAGAGTTGGTCGTTGTTATGGGCAAGGCCAGACTGAAGGCCAACTGACAGAGCACCACCAAAAAAAAAAAAAAAAAAATCAACCCTTGAACTTCCAAAAAGCTGGGAAAAAAGGCAAGCGGTGAGGTAAAGGACGTTGCGAATTCCACTTCCGTCCTGTATTGCGCGCACAACTGGCGACTACCAGTAGACCTGAAGGGATATGACGGCTACCCTAACAAATTCGAAAGACCCGGTAAAGACCAGTCATTGTACTTTATTTCATGACGGTTCGCCAGGTGGTGAAGATAGAGCTCGCTGTCTCATAGGAATCGAGTTGAGAACAATAACTCTTTAATAAAAGATTTTTAAGAATAAGCAGGAACAGGCTTGTACGTAAAGATATGAAGGATTAGATATGTAGGAATAGATATGTTGGAATAGATATGTAGGAATAGATATTTTGTGGAAACAATAAACACGGCAAGCTGGAAATTTCTGGATTTATTGTCAATAGCCAGATTATGTAGTGCACATTTTTTAAATGGAGAAATGGAGAAGTACCGTGACTTGGTTTCCTGTCTGAGAACTGTTGAGGTGTACACAGCGGGACTTTCTTCACCGTCGAGACAGGCGCAAGAGGGCTGGTTTCCAAGTTAGTGTATGACACATTGCAACAACTAGAGCTGCCTGGCCAAGCAAGATCAGGGGCACTGAAACAGCCGGGCGAAGCAGCAGAGAAAGCCTCTGACTGGCTGTGGAATAAACACAGCGACAGTACAGGATAATCTAGTCTCAGCAAGCAGGCCCAGGTCTCCGGACAAGCGACCACAAGCTACCAAACGGCATTATGAAGTACAGGCTTTCACAAACCAACTATCTATGGTGGTGACCAACAAGATGGGACAGGACGGGACAGCTGCAAACCCCCATGTGTTCCTTGGTGTTATTGGCAAGACAACCGAGCTGTAGGCGAACGAGACCTGCGAGTCACGACCGCCGGCTGGCTCACCCCCAGAGAGTCTAAGAGAAGGCAAAAGGGACCGAAACATTCAGAGAAGGGGGACCCCTTCTCACGAAGAAGGCTTCTGTTGTACTCGTTCCTCTAGGCAGTTTCTATTACGTGTATAGCCTTGTGTGAACATTCTGATCGTGAAAGTACCTCACTCTGCGGGAATGTGCTCGAACAGTTCCACTTTATAAACTTATGTTTGTGTGTCAGTCTCACCCCTCTGATAGTCAGAGACATTTGAAATCACTGGTTTCCGGTAAAGAAATAACTGGTTTCCGATGAAGAAATCGCTGGCTCCGATGAAGAAATCACAGGTTCCGGTGAAGAAATTGCTGGTTTCTTGCGAAAAAATAACTGGTTTCCGGTGAAGAAATAAATCGTTTCCGGTGAAGAAAGCACTGGTTTCCGGTGAAGAAATCTCAGGCCTACAAACAATGAACAGAGAATGCCGGAAGTAACTGTCAGAATTACTGAACTCGAACATGAATCAGTAATTTCCTCAAATTATCAAAATGTCGGTTCGCTCGCACACATATAAATGTATTTCTGACGACAGGATTTGTAATTTCTCCCCCATACACGCGCATGTATTTTGTACTGGAGGATTTATAGGGTCTCCGCAACACACCTGAACTTATACCTTCATTTATAGGATCTCCCTGAGGTTAAGTGGGTCATTCTGAGGGCCCCTCCATGGGGTACGCAGTCTAGCCAGAAAGGACATTTCCGGAAAAAACTGACCACTGTAGAACTGACCACTCTGTGAGTCACTCAGGCCTGCGGGATAGATACATGAGTGTCTGGATGAGGCAGTCTGACAACACGTGTGAGTTCATCTCTCTGCTGAATGCCTTGCCTGGTCGAATCATTCTCAGGCTTGTACTCGAGAGCTCATGCTGCAGTAGTCTAACGTACAACGACGTTGTTGCTACAGGGGGTCATCCACCACCAGCTCTTCGTTCAGCTGATGTTGAGCGTCAGCGTCGCCGTCGTCTGTGAGAGAAGATGGCGAGGAACATGAGGAGATAAGGTCTGTGATGTCTTGCCTTTCCGTTTGACCGATGTTGCCATTAAAGAGACAGGATTTAGCATCTATCACACCGGAATCTGTCTCATCTTCCTTGATGCTGGCGGTAGTGCCCAGTACCTTTGCTCCCGAGACGACCTTAGGGGAGTGTGTGGGAAAACCTTTCATGAAGTGCCCTTGTAGCACTGGGGCTGCAGGTATCACTTGACCGGAAGCCTGGAGGACAGAAGTGAAGTAGTTCCTCAACCAGCGGGAATCCAGCAGATCCTGTGGGCAGGGCCCAAAGTTTGTCCACGGAAAGGATGTTTTTCCCCGCAGCTGATGCAGTCGCCCAGTGCCACCATGCGAGTACACTCCGTTAGCAGCAAACTGTGGGCCATTGTGAAACATCTGATGACTACCCAAGTCACGGTTCGTTGTAGCGGCAGCTCGCAAGATGTCGCCAGTATAGAGCACGGGCGAGTAGTACTGTAGGAACAACGGTGGCACGCCCACACAGGCGGGGTAGTACGGGGGGCTGCTCATGTGGGGATGAGGTAGAAGAGGTGGTACACAACCGATGCTCTCCGGACACAGATCCTCCAAGTGAGACCGTTCAAACGTTGCCATAGATTTCAGATCGCATGATTTGTTTCCTCTCTGAAATCACAGATAAATATAAAGTCAATCTAATTGTCTGGACCAGTGTTCTTCAAGATGTTTACACCCAGGGACTGACAAGACAGGGAAACGGTTCCCTGGACAAGAAAGGGGAACGGTTCCCTAGTCAAGGCAGGGGATCGGTTCCCTGGTCTTCCCAAAGCTAGCAATAAATAAGTGTAACAAGCCAAGGACCCTTTTCTCCACCTTCAGGCGTATCGAGCATAAAGCGCTGGAACTATATTACATGGACCAACTGACACTCGGTGGATGATGTAGTCAAAATCCTATCGGCCACTTATACTTTACATGATTTTACCTGGCACCCAGTTAAGGCTAGATTTACCTGGAAGCCAAAATGATTTGAAAAAAAAAGCTCCTTTCGGATTCGACCCTACGACCCTCAGACGTACAGGCGAGCGTCTAGTCGCTGCACTAGGGCAGCTACCAAAAAAAAAAAAAAAAACCTAGACAACTGTATATGTGTACATGCAATGCCACTCAGTTGGTATGTTCAGTTGATGTCACACAGTTGGCATGTTCAGCAGATGCTACACCTGCTGTCGGTCACAGGTTAGGAAATCTTTGCAGCAATGCAGTGCTGGGATTCCTGTAGCTGTGACCTTAAAGGGTCAGGACCAGCTGATGATGTGCTCGGTTGTGTCCTTGCACGAGCCGCACGTGTGTCTTGTCTCCCTAGACCGGCCCGCTTACACCGAGGTAGCCTCTTAGACAGCCGGTGTTGTGAGTGAGAGGACCATCAGACCTCATCACTGTTTTGTGTTCTCCTACCTGAGACCGTTTTCGTGACTTTGAGACAGTGCTACGAGAACCACACCGTGGAAGTGATTGGGCTTTTCCATGGGGTATCCCAAAGTTAGCCGTACATGCCTTGTAGCCAACCTTCATTGTGGAGACGGTACATTTGCTGTTATAAATCAGAGCAAACATGGAGGGACTTTATCAAAGCTAGACCGGTGACAGACACATGATTATCTGGTGTCATACTGGAGTCGTCACATCGTATACACAGGTGTCACAACATTTAATATCACAACAATTAATTTCACAACGTTGAATGTCACACCATTTATTGTCACAACATTTAATATCACAACATCTAATGTCACAACATCTAATGTCACAACATCTAATGTCACAACATCTAATGTCACAACATTTAAAGTTACAACGTCTACCTGCCTCTGTCACTTGTCAACATGACATATGTGTCACTATCACTGTCAAGTGTCAGTATCACTGTCACATGTCTAACGACCACAGTCACATGTCTAACTATCACTGTCACATGTCTTACTACCACTGTCACATGTCTAACTATCACTGTCAAATGTCTGACCATAACTGTCACATGCCTTACTACCACGGTCACATGTCTAACTATCACTGTCAAATGTCTAACTATCACTGTCACATGTCTAACTATTACTGTCAAATGTCTAACTATCACGGCCACATGTCTGACTATCACTGTCGCATGTCTAACTATCACGGTCACATGTCTAACTATCACGGTCACATGTCTAACTATCACTGTCACATGTCTAACTATCACTGTCACATGTCTAGCTACCACGGTCACGTGTCTAACTATCACTGTCACATGTCTAACTATTACTGTCAAATGTCTAACTATCACGGCCACATGTCTGACTAACACTGTCGCATGTCTAACTATCACGGTCACATGTCTGACTATCACTGTCGCATGTCTAACTATCACTGTCACATGTCTGACTATCACTGTCACATGTCTAACTATCACGGTCACATGTCTAACTGTCACTGTCACATGTCTAACTATCACGGTCACATGTCTAACTATCACTGTCACATGTCTAACTATCACGGTCACATGTATGACTATCACTGTCACATGTCTGACTATCACTGTCACATGTCTAACTATCACTGTCACATGTCTGGCTCACTTTCACATACATAACTAAAACCGTCACTTGTCTAGTTGTCACTGTCACACAGTTAGCTGTCAGTGACACAAAGTGACACTGCGACATGTCATGTCAGTATTTGCCTGTTTACCTGGACAATGACCTCCAACTTATGACCCGACCTTGGGGCGGGCAGGTAGGAAACCTCCGTCATGTCCTGCAGCCCGCCAAAGTTCCGCACGCGCGAATGTTTCCGCCATTTGGCTCGACGGTTTTGGAACCAAATCTGGGAACAATAAGAGCAACATCTCAGTTATTTCTCTGTCTGTCTGTCTGCCTGTTTACATAACGCTTTATCTATCTATCTATATGTCTGTCTAGCCGTCTGTCTAAATGTCTGGCTGTTTATCAACTCATCTGTCTGTTTGTCCGTCCTTCCGTCTGTTTGTCTGTCTGCTTTCCGTTCGGTTTCTCCTCTGTATGTCTACCAGTCCAAGTATTTTTCTGTCTGTCTGTCTGTCTGTCTGTCTGTCTGTCTGTCTGTCTGTCTGTCTGTCTGTCTGTCTGTCTGTCTGTCTGTCTGTCTGTCTGTCTGTCTGTCTGTCTGTCTGTCTGTCCGTTAGTCTGTCTATCTAGGAAGAAACTCTACAGGGAGCATGTACAGCAGGAGTCTACCAATCGTCAGTAGAAGTAACCTCTCGTCGACAGATGCTTCGGCCACGAGCTACTAGACATTCTCAGAGAGTGGCCCCACCTGAGTTCATGAGGCTCAGGGTTGGTTTCTCCTGCTGCACGTATTACCGGATGTTATTCGGACAGGGACAAGGCGAATTGGTGATTTGCAAAAGGTACTGTGAGATAAGAAGTCGTTGCGGTAGCATAATTAAAGCAGTCTGCATACCTGGACGACCAAGTGGTAAGCTTACGTTGGTTTACCGGACACATGTTGGACTTTGTTGGCAGGTGGCAGAGGGACACTGGCAGACAATTCGGACACGATGGACTTTAAGGGATAAGACATTCTTTTCCACTAGACATCCGCACCAGCTCACCGAGGCCCGTCTCCCACGACTTTCCGTTGTGTCCAGAGCCAGCTCGAGGCCCTCTCAGCAACCTCTCCCAGTTGTTTTAGAGTCTGTTTGCGTTCATTACCTCGTAAGCCTAGTTGTTTAATCACATTGTAAAGTGAAGTCGAAACGAGACCTCTAGAGCCTACCTCGACGGCGAAAATTCTACTGTCTACGCTTCATCTCTCCTCAGGCCATAAGTCACTGTATTTCTCGAGCTTATAAATATGGCTTTCGTCCATTCGCGACTCATACGACACTGTCAGCTCGATCAGGAAGAGCTGACGTTTCTCCGCAGAGTGGAGAACTATGTCTGGTCGCAGGCGAGTCTTCCGGATTAATTCAGGGTACTTTTCATGGCCAGGCAGGCCAACCGCCAGTAACCAGTCCCTCGCACAGTCTATCATCGATGGAGCGTATGCGACTTTGTTTAATTTACCTCTATGAATCTGCCCAGCCTTAAGGAAGCGTATGGAGACGACGGTAGGACTGGCCCTCGCATTGGCCCTCATCCTAGCTTGGTCCACAACGGCTGCGAACTCTTTATCATGCTACTTCTTAAGTATCTCGCTATTGTTGATGCGTCGTTCAGTGTTGTATGTGCATTAAAACAACAATGTCACTACGGCGCTTAATGTTGTGTGTACATAGAAACAACAGTGTCACCACATCGCCCAGTGTTGTCTGTACATAGAAACAATGGTGACACCACGTCGCTTAGTTTTGTGTGTACATAGAAACAACAGTGTCACCTCGCCGCTCAGTGTTGTATGTACATAGAACCAACAGTGTCACCACATCGCTCAGTGTTGTATGTACATAGAAACAATGGTGTCACAACATCGCACATTGTTGTATGTACATTAAAACGACAGTGTCACTACTTCGCTTAGTGTTGTGCGTACATAGAAACAACAGTGTCACCTCGTCGCTCACTGTTGTGTGTACATAGAACCCACAGTGTCTCATCGTTGCTCAGTGTTGTAAGTATATAGAACCAACAGTGTCACCTCGTCGCTCAGTGTCACTACTTCGCTTAGTGTTGTGTTTATATAAAAACAACAGTATCACCACGTCGCTCAGTGTTGTACGTACATAGAACCAACAGCGCCGCCACGTCGCTAAGTGTTGTGTATACTTGAGAACAACAGTGTCACTCTGTCGCTCAGTGTTGTATGTGCAAGAAAACAACGGAGTGATTAAGTGGCTCATTATTGAAAGTACATAGAAACAATACTGAAAGCCACAGACGCAGGTACGAACCTGCACTCTCTCCTCGGACAGACCAATGCTAGCTACCAAGTTCTCGCGAGTATTGCCGTCAGGGTAATGTGTGATTGCGAACACTTCCTCCAGGGCTCGAAGCTGCTCGGCCGTGAACGTGGTCCGGACCCGACGCTTTTTCATCACCGGATTGGTTTCCGCCAGCTCTTGTAATGACCTCATCTCTATCGTTTCCGGTACGATTCTGTTGTTTTCACACTGTCCGCATGTCCCATCAATCATCTGTTCACGATGTGTCTCATGCTGTCTGCATGTCCCATCACTCATCTGTTCATGATCTGTCTCATGCTGTCTGCATGCCTGCTCGTTCATGCTTTTATAATCTGTCTCATGCTGTCTGCATGTCCCATCAATCATCTGTTCACGATGTGTCTCATGCTGTCTGCATGTCCCATCACTCATCTGTTCATGATGTGTCTCATGCTGTCTGCAAGTATGATCACTCATCTGTTCATAATCTGTCTCATCCTGTCTACATGTCCCATCACTCATCTGTTTATGATGTGTCTCATGCTGTCTGCATGTCTCATCACTCCTCTGTTTACGATTTGGCTTATGCTGTCTGCATGTCCCATCATTCATATGTTCATAATATGTCTCATGCTGTCTGCATGTCCCATCACAAATCTGTTTATAATCTGTCTCATGCTGTCTGCATACCCCATCACTCATCCGTTCATAATCTGTCTCATGCTGTCTGTATATCTCATCACTCATCTGTTCACGATGTGTCTCGTGCTGTTGGCAAGTCTCACTTATCTGTTTTAACCTATTCAGTGGGTAAGTGTATGGACAAGTCAGTTCTTGTTTGTGAGAAATCTCTGCCATATCCGATTCCTCTGGGGACATGCCTGCCTCTGCACCCATCCCAGCATTGCAGACTCTTTCTCTGCTGTCAATACGCAGAATGCCAACGGAAATGTCTTTCATTTTACCACAATCAGGCATCTTCAACGATGCGGACTCTTGGGTGTCCGTGTCACAGACACTAATGTCCTCGCGTCCCCCAGAGTCCTGTCCTTTCTCGGCGTCAGTGTCTGTGGCAGTCCAAGTAACGCTCATCAACTCTGCATGAAGGACACTGAGAGGACGCGATGATTGGCTTCTTCTGTTACCACACAGCTCTTGAGTTGAGGCAATACCGTGTCTGGAACATTCTGAGTACCAACTCCGGGGCGTGTGAGCAGCAGGCGGGCAATGTTGGTTGCATTCATCATTTCGCTCTGTGTGTGGTTGTGAGTGTGTTTCATCGTGTGGTTGTGTGTGTGTCCCACTGTGTGGTTGGGATTGTGTTGTACCGTGGGGTTGTGGGTGTGGTGCCAGCTGTGAGTCAGTCCTGTCTCTCAGACTGAAAGCATCATGGTCAGACAGGCATTGTCTAGTCCGTTCTCGTGAGACCACGTCGTAGCCTGAAGGTTCAATGTTACCCAGAAGATGACCTTTCACCCGGTCAGCCATTGGACGAAGCCGTGCGTTTCTTGCAGACTCGAGCTCATCCAGCCTGGGTGCTGATATCAAAGTGTCCAGCTGACCACACACACAACCAAGGGCGCCATCTTTATCGGGGTCTTCTGTGGACATAAGAACATCAGGTCAGTGAGAATCTAGACTTGGACAACATCAGGTCAGTGAGAATCTGGACTTGGACAACATCAGGTCAGTGAAAATCTGGACTTGGACAAGATCAGGTCAATGAGAATCTGGACTTGGACAACATCAGGTCAGTGAAAATCTGGACTTGGACAACATCAGGTCAGTGAGAATCTGGACTAGGACAACATCAGGTCAGTGAGAATCTGGACTTCGACAACATTGACCCATGACACATACCCAGGGCAGATGTTGGTCGCACCCCCTCCCCCCCCCCTTTTTTTCCCTTTACCAAAACCGTTTTAATAGCTTTGTGGGCCCCTGGACAAATCAGTGTGCTGGGGCCCCTACAACAATCACTCACAAAAGGGAAATGTAAATGATCACCTACTTACACAGATTAGCATAGGACCCTCTGCTTAGGCCACGACCCCCACCCCCTTAATCCCCCCGATGCCCCAACAAGTGCAAAGCTGAACCCCGTGTTGAGACGGCACTGTGACCCCACATAGATATGTAACTCAGAATATAAACAATATTAAACCGTAAAAGAAAATGTTATTTATCGAAATTAAACAAAACTTACAGTCAGATGGAAAATAATATTCCTTATTGAATATTTCTACTTTATTTATATATTTGAAAAGTGTATTTCCACTTTTTTAAATTGCAAAGTCTGTTATCAGATCCTCCAGCTTATCTTAGTTAACAGATCTGCTTCTAGGCTTAAGAGAGATAAGGCCACGGAAAACCCATCTAGATACAAAAATTTAGAGTTGAAAATCTACTCAAAGTAATTTAGGATACTCGTCGGTGCTACGGAGTTCGTGCACTGCGCTGACCATCTTCGGACTCAGGCTTAAATCAGAAGTAGAACGGAGTACGTATGGGAAACTACCCTTGCGCCATGATGTTGACTGGTTGTTTAAACCTAAACCTGTCGCTTCACTGAACCCACCCTGTCATGCCAATGGTTTGTTTATACAGTTTATGTGATAATCAGAAATATCTAAAAGTATCCATTGTTGAGAGTGAGCAAGAACAAAGCATCTAAAGCCCTGGCAGCAGCTGTATGTGTATCTGTATTTATGCCTGAGTGTGCAGGTATATGTGTGTGTGTGTGTGGTATGTGAGAGTGGGGCGGAATGAAAATTCAGTGTACAATTAAATATGCCAGACGGCAATAGAAGGATAGATGTGTGAGTGTACAGATAAACTGGGATTTACAAGCGGGCAGGTCACAGCAGCGATAGCCAGGTAATTGTTGCAGAGACAAGCTGATAGCAACTGCGACAATATCGAGCAGTCGATAAGGTTACAATTTAGTGCCGTCTAATAACTTCACAAACCAATGTGGCTGTCGATAGAGTCGTACATTGTCGATGTTACCGGTGCTCGTTCGACTCCCAGCAACCAGGCGTGGAGTCTGGGACAGGTGGTTGGGCCTGATTTACTGGCCTGATTGATGTGATCACCCGGGCCTGCGATTACCTTTCTGACACTGGCGGCACATCAAAGACTATTTGTCTTCCTGGGCGGCACGGGTACACACCCACTGTGCCCGTGTTACCTGAGCAAACGGTGAATATAGTGCAGCGTCGGTGGTCACCTCAACTGTAGATCACACCAGTAGCCGTCTTCACAATCTAGGCTGCCATGCATTTCAACGGTCTCCCCGAGGCGGAGCAGTCTCATATGATTTGACTAGTCGTCGCTTGTTTTTATCCTCTCAGTTCATCCTATCGTCTACCTCTTGCCCGTCCACCTGCTAGACAACCCTCCTGTACTGTCAGACAGATAATTAGAGAGACCGAGGCCAATAAGCAGGCAGATAATAGGATATACAGATAACAATTAAACAAAAAGACAAAAGAAGACAAGAAAAACTTTACGACTCGCTGAGTGAATTACAAAAGACAGTGAAGTTTATACTAGAGACAACATTGCAGACATAGATAATTTATTTCAAGCGAACGAAAGAAGAAGAAGAAGAAGAAACAAAAAGACAAACGACCAGTCACATAGGATAGCCAGACTTACAGTCACATAGGATAGTCAGACTTACAGTCACATAGGATAGTCAGACTAGTCACATAGGGAAGCCAGACTTACAGTCACATAGGATAGTCAGACTTACAGTCACATAGGATAGTCAGACTAGTCACATAGGATAGTCAGACTTACAGTCACATAGGATAGTCAGACTTACAGTCACATAGGATAGTCAGACTTACGGTCACATAGGATAGCCAGACTAGTCTATAGGATAGCCAGACTAGTCCATAGGATAGCCAGACTTACAGTCACATAGGATAGTCAGAGTAGTCACATAGGATAGTCAGGCTTACAGTCTACAGTCACATAGGATAGTCAGACATAAAGTTATATAGGATAGTTATACTCACAGTCACACAAGAAAGTCAGACGTTTAGTCACATAGGATAGTCAGACGTACAGTCAATCAGACAGACAGCAGAGCTGAAAGACAATTGGCGCCACAAAGGACATAAATGACGGGTATACGTCTAATAGCAGCCAGACAACAGTGCAGATATGGCATGAGATCTGACAGACTTTCACATCAGACAGAAGGCAATCAGACAGACAAATTTACAGACCTTGAAGTCTGGTGCCTGATTCCTGCCTGCTGTCACCCGAGACGACGTCTTTGGCTGCTTTCATAGGACCTGCCTTACATAGAACCAACGATGAATTAGGAGACAGTCCCAGGTGGCCATCTTGTACTTCCACACTTGAGTCTTCACAAGCCACTGATGCCCGCATCAAACCGATTCTGCTGACAGACACATCTCCCATTGCTGTTCCATGACAGTGATTATTTCCCTTACATCCCATAGAGGAACGGGCCAGAATGCTGTCTATAGAATAACTAGTGAATGACGTCGTTGGTCGGGTCTGGAAGCACACAGAAGCCGTGACGTCAGTGCTGTCCTGAGCTGTCAGATCCATTCTGGCAACAGGATTCCACTTCCTAGAGTCGGGAGAAAGAAAAGAGAAACCAGATACGGTGCAGTCAGTTATAGTGTACCAGAGACAAGAGACACGACAGGTGTTGACAAATAGCTTCCCCTCTACAAAGTCAAAGTAGTACTTTATACGTATCATCCTCTTGTGGGGTGTACTTTTTCGGTATTTAAAGCCCCGCCCTGGCTTTTGCCTTCCATTCATACTTGCTACGTCGAAGGAGTGTCACATTGTCTTCCCTCCAATTACATCAGCGGAGACATCACATGTTCTATACCACACGACGACTCAGCTTTCAACGACCCCAAAACATTTAGAATTGGCCCTAATCCAAACCTCTCTACCTACAGTCTCAGCCTAGGTCACCTGAGGGACTCTTTTCGAAGAAAGCAGTACAGCGTGACCCCCCCCCCCTTCTGATCTAGATCAGACTGAGAAAGTGTGTAAATGGGCCGGGAAACGTAAACAGGACCTATAATGGTTGACCGTTTACATCTAAATACAGAGATTGACCTCATGATTACAGTTCTGGTAAGTAAATCTAACGCTATATCAGCTCGAGAACTCTGTAATCAAGGTCAGAGAAAAAACGATGCTTATTGGTCAGTTGTACTAGCCAATGTTGGCGAGGCACCTACAGCGGCCTGTGAATGGTCAATCATGTGGTTAGTAGCGGTCTGTGAATGGATAATCATTTGGTCTGTAACGGTATGTGAATGGTAAATTATGTGGTCAGTAGCGATCTGAGAATGGTCAATCATGTGGTCAGTAGCGGTCTGTGAATGGTCAATCATGTGGTCAGTAGCGGTCTGTGAATGGTCAATCATGTGGTCAGTAGCGGTCTGAGAATGGTCAATCATCTAGTCAGTAGCGGTCTGAGAATGGTCAATCATGTGGTCAGTAGCAGTCTGTGAATGGTCAATCATGTGGTCAGTAGCGGTCTGAGAATGGTCAATCATGTGGTCAGAGGTTCGACTCCCATATTCGACTAAATAGGTCGACGTGGAGTGAGAGCAGGCTTTCAAGATGGCGGTAGAACACTCGACATAGTCTGGTCCCTTAGATCTGAGATAAAATCGTAACTGTGTTTAACGTTACAATATATTACGTATAGAAAAATAGTTTGGTTGAACACGGAGACACGAGATTTCCTGAGGTCACGAGTCAGAGCAAATAGCAGACGACGATGACGTTGATGGCAGACAGCAGGAATATTCTAGATGGGCGGCTCTAGTACACATGATGATGTTGGAGGTCACAGTCAGTTCTTGAGACTTCATGTGAGGGTTCCGGGGCCTCATTGTGGGGAAAACAAGAATAGACCCACTAGCTGCCCAAAAAGCATGTCGTAAGAGTCGACTAATTGGGAGCTTACTTCGAAGTCGGAGTACATTTGCCTGAGAGGCTAGGGCCCAAGAGTCTGCATACAAATAAGTTAGACCTGTAAAACGGATGTACATGCAACACTTACTTTCTAGAACAGGACTAGAGTCCAGAAGTGGACGAACAACCAGAACTATTCCGCAGGAGTTTACAGCCGGCGAACAGGAAGAAGTTCCTGAGACGATGTGATTCATGGTACTGCTGTCACTGTAGAGTTTTAGACTAAATCAACTATTTCAGAAACAAGAGACATGATACATTGTGAGTACTTACAGTGGCATAACTCCGACCTGACATGGGTCCTGGTGTCAGATATCCTCCCAGGCGTATCGCTGATTGCGTCAGGTCTCAGCTACAAAGCGCTCTCCGTCGTGCGGAAATTGTCGTCTGATATCTCCATGGTTGACTGAGACAATATTGTCGGCCGCTTGAGTGACGGTTCAGTCAAACGACTAGCTCCGTGGCCCCGCCCACAGCCTGGTGCCAGCCGGTCACAAATTGGCAGGTAGATAGAAGCCCGAAGTTGCGCCTACCCCCCAGCTATGGAGGGAACTTAGGGACACACCTGGGCCATCAAAGCAACTACAGTCATAGAGCTGGACAGTGCCCGATGGGTGGGGGAGGGGGGGGGGGTCCTCAAGGGGCAGCACATACGTAAATCAAGAAAACTGGACAGTCTATTAGTCCGTGAGGGAATCTTTCAGTGAAAGTGTCTGTCAGTGAGGGGGTCAGTAAAAGTGTCTGTCAGTGAGGGGGTCAGTGAAAGTGTCTGTCAGTGAGGGGGTCAGTGAAAGTGTCTGTCAGTGAGGGGGTCAGTGAAAGTGTCTGTCAGTGAGGGGGTCAGTGAAAGTGTCTGTCAGTGAGGGGGTCAGTGAAAGTGTCTGTCAGTGCGGGGGTCAGTGAAAGTGTCTGTCAGTGAGGGGGTCAGTGAAAGTGTCTTGTCAATGAGAGAGTTTGTCAGCGAGAGAGTTTGTCATTGGGGAAGTGTCACTGAGGACGTCTATCATTGAGGAAGTCTGTCATTGAGGAAGTTTGTCATTGAGGAAGTCTGTCATTGAGGAAGTTTGTCATTGAGGAAGTCTGTCACTGAGGACGTCTGTCACTGAGGACGTCTGTCATTGAGGAAGTCTGTCATTGAGGAAGTCTGTCATTGAGGAAGTTTGTCATTGAGAAATTCTGTCATTGAAGAAGTCTGTCATTGAGGAAGTCTGTCACTGAGGACGTCTGTCACTGAGGACGTCTGTCATTGAGGAAGTCTTTCATTGAGGAAGTCTGTCATTGAGGAAGTCTTTCATTGAGGAAGTCTGTCATTGAGGAAGTCTGTCATTGCGGAAGTCTGTCATTGAGGAAGTCTATCATTGAGGAAGTCTGTCATTGAGGAAGTCTGTCACTGAGGACGTCTGTCACTGAGGACGTCTGTCATTGAGGAAGTCTGTCATTGAGGAAGTCTGTCATTGAGGAAGTCTGCCATTGAGGAAGTCTGTCATTGAGGAAGTCTATCATTGAGGAAGTCTGTCATTGAGGAAGTCTGTCACTGAGGACGTCTGTCACTGAGGATGTCTGTCACTAAGGAAGTCTGTCATTGAGGAAGTCTGTCATTGAGGAAGTCTGTCATTGAGGAAGTCTGTCATTGAGGAAGTCTGTCATTTAGGCAGTCTGTCATTGAGGAAGTCTGTCATTGAGGAAGTCTGTCATTGAGGAAGTCTGTCATTGAGGAAGTTTGTCATTTAGGCAGTCTGTCATTGAGGAAGTCTGTCATTGAGGAAGTCTGTCATTGAGGAAGTCTGTCATTGAGGAAGTCTATCATTGAGGAAGTCTGTCATTGAGGAAGTCTATCATTGAGGAAGTCTGTCACTGAGGACGCCTGTCTTTGAGGAAGTATGTCATTGAGGAAGTCTGTCATTGAGGAAGTCTGTCATTAAGGAAGTCTGTCATTGAGGAAGTCTATCATTGAGGAAGTCTGTCATTGAGGAAGTCTGTCATTGAGGAAGTCTGTCATTGAGTAAGTCTGTCTTGAGGAAGTCTATCATTGAGGAAGTTTTTCATTGAGGAAGTCTGTCTTTGGGGAAGTCTGTTATTGGGGAAGTCTGTCGGCAAGAGAGTCTGTCAGTGATAGCTGGAATACCACTGAGATGCGCCTAGCACCCACCAGCGTCTATGTTGGTCACTGGGTATTGACTGACTGCCTCAACTGATCATTGAAAACTGGAGAGACATACACTGTTGCCACAACTGGGGAGCATTTGCTCCGTTAATAAGGAAATTCTAATATCCTTCAAGGTATCTACAGGACATTCTAACATCCTACAAGATATCTACAGGAAATTCTAACACCTGACAAGATATCTACAGGAAATTCTAACATCCTACAAGATATCTACAGGAAATTCTAACACCTGACAAGATATCTACAGGGAATTCTTACATCCTACAAGATAGCTACAGGATTTTCAGTTTCCTTAACATGTATTCCACACTACAACATGTATTCTACACTCCAAGATGTATTGTACACTCCAACATGTATTCTACACAACAACATGTATTCTACGCTCCAAGATGTATTCTACACTCTAACATGTATTCTACACTCCAAAATGTATTCTACACAACAACATGTATTCTTCACTCAAACAAATTTTTCTACACTCCAACATGTATTCTACACTCCAGCATGTATTCTACACTCCAACATGTATTCTACACACCAACATGTATTCTACACTCCAACATGTATTCTACACTCCAACATGTATTCTACACACCAACATGTATTCTACACTCCAACATGTATTCTACACTCCAGCATGTATTCTACACTCCAACATGTATTCTACACACCAACATGTATTTTACACTCCAACATGTATTCTACACTCCATCATGTATTCTACACTCCAACATGTATTCTACACTCCAACATGTATTCTACACTCCAGCATGTATTCTACACACCAACATGTATTCTACACTCCATCATGTATTCTACACTCCAACATGTATTCTACACACCAACATGTATTCTACACTCCAACATGTATTCTACACTCCAACATGTATTCTACACACCAACATGTATTCTACACTCCATCATGTATTCTACACTCCAACATGTATTTTACACTCCAGCATGTATTCTACACTCCATCATTTATTCTACACTCCAACATGTATTCTACACTCCAACATGTATTCTACACTCCAACATGTATTCTTCACTCCAGCATGTATTCTACACTCCAACATGTATTCTACACTCCAACATGTATTCTACACTCCAGCATGTATTCTACACACCAACATGTATTCTACACTCCAACATGTATTTTACACTCCAGCATGTATTCTACACTCCATCATTTATTCTACACTCCAACATGTATTCTACACTCCAACATGTATTCTACACTCCAACATGTATTCTACACTCCAACATGTATTCTACACTCCAGCATGTATTCTACACTCCAGCATGTATTCTACACTCCAACATGTATTCTACACTCCAACATGTATTCTACACTCCAACATGTATTTTACACTCCAGCATGTATTCTACACTCCATCATTTATTCTACACTCCAACATGTATTCTACACTCCAACATGTATTCTACACTCCAACATGTATTCTACACTCCAACATGTATTCTACACTCCAGCATGTATTCTACACACCAACATGTATTCTACACTCCAACATGTATTTTACACTCCAGCATGTATTCTACACTCCATCATTTATTCTACACTCCAACATGTATTCTACACTCCAACATGTATTCTACACTCCAGCATGTATTCTACACTCCAACATGTATTCTACACTCCAGCATGTATTCTCCACTCCAACAGGTATTCTACACTCCAACATGTATTCTACACTCCAACATGTATTCTACACACCAACATGTATTCTACACTCCAACATGTATTCTACACTCCAACATGTATTCTACACTCCAACATGTATTCTACACTCCAGCATGTATTCTACACTCCAACATGTATTCTACACTCCAACATGTATTCTACACTCCAACATGTATTCTACACTCCAGCATGAATTCTACACTCCAACATGTATTCTACACTCCAACATGTATTCTACACTCCAACATGTATTCTACACTCCAGCATGAATTCTACACTCCAACATGTATTCTACACTCCAGCATGTATTCTACACACCAACATGTATTCTACACTCCAGCATGTATTCTACACTCCAACATGTATTCTACACACCAACTGTATTCTACACTCCAGCATGTATTCTACACTCCAACATGTATTCTACACACCAACATGTATTCTACACTCTAACATGTAAACTACACTCCAACATGTATTCTACACTCCAACATGTATTCTACACTCCAGCATGTATTCTGCACTCTAACATGAATTCTACTCTAACATGTATTCCACGCTCCAACATGTATTCTATGCTCCAACGTGCTACACTCCAACATGAATTCTACACTCCAGCATATATTCTACGCTCCAACATGAATTATTCACTCCAACATGTATTCTTCACTCCAGCATGTATTCTACACTCTAACATGTATTCTACTCTAACATGTATTCTACACTCTAACATGTATTCTACACTCTAACATGTATTCTACTTTAACATGTATTCTACACTCTAACATGTATTCTGCTCCAACATGTATTCTTCACTCCAACATGTATTCTACACTCTAACATATATTCTACTCTAACATGTATTCCACGCTCCAACGTGTATTCTATGCTCCAACTTGAATTCTACACTCCAACATGAATTCTACACTCCAACATGAATTCTACACTCCAACATGAATTCTACACTCCAACATGAATTCTACACTCCAACATGAATTCTACACTCCAACATGTATTCTACACTCCAACATGAATTCTACACTCCAACATGAATTCTACACTCCAACATGAATTCTACACTCCAACATGAATTCTACACTCCAACATGAATTCTACACTCCAACATGAATTCTACACTCCAACATGAATTCTACACTCTAACATGAATTCTACACTCCAACATGAATTCTACACTCCAACATGAATTCTACACTCCAACATGAATTCTACACTCCAACATGAATTCTACACTCCAGCATGACAGTGGGAAAAAAAAGTAGAGGCCCCTTTTCCACGCCTTCAGACGCATTACGCACATAGGGCTATACCTTTTTTTTAATAGACAGTCGGCACTTGTGGATGCTGTGGTCAGCAGGGTTTACTTCCCAGGACTGCACCTTGTATCAACT